TTTTTAACCAAGACAGAGGTTTTAGGAAATTGTAGATCAGCCAAAAGCAGCTTGAACAAAAAGAAAACCCATAGGAAATGTATTGTCTACCTTATTTCGCTAAATAAATGGCCAGCGGCTTGTTTTACATTATGATCTGATGGTAAATGGTGTGAGGGAGAGAGAGATCTGAGTGAGTATAGATGTGTATACATACATATTTATTTTATGTTGTATGAAAGTAGCCCAAAGCATTGGCTAAATCTGTCCTTACTACATTTCCTGGCGGCCCAAAGGCCATTTAAAGGCATGTGTGTATTTTTAAAATATAATCAAACTGTGCATTGTTCCCAACAATTGTACTAGAATAACAACCTTATTTTTTTTAATAAAAATACAATCAGAATTCTGGGGCCTTTAATCTTTTTGATTACAAAATAAAACTGTATTGATGGGTATTCCACCACGGCTTGTTGTTTTGTGTTATCTGACCTTATTTAGAAACAAATTGTAAAGTGTGAATATTTTAGCATGTTCAAGATAGGTTTAAAAATTATTCAAAACTCTGATTACTGTTGATAAATGTTCCAGTAAAAGTTAATATATATTCTTTGCAGCACTTATAAAATAAAACCCACAGGGCATTGTAACAGTTTGAGTATAATAGGAATAAGGAATCTTAAAATCTGTATTTAGTTTGGCACTGGGTGTGGAGGACTGCACTTAAAAATGGCAGTGTGGAAAAATGGGATACATTCATTGTAAATATAGTCAACATGTGGCTGAAGATCATAAATATCTCTGTCTAACGATAGTGTAGGCATTTAAGAGCATGGAAAAAAATGGAAAAGTTTAGCATCCTGTAAAAAGTATTTTTGAAATGTAACTAGGCATGAGTCTGAAATTCATAGTATCCTGGATATTATTATTATTATTATTATTATTATTATTATTATTATTATTATTTACATCTCAATTATTTTTTAAATCACTGAAGGAATATATGGTACTCAGGGTCCTGTTTCTTAGCACATAATCAATTATTAACCACTGGCAAAGAGAGTATCACTTAGTATGCCCATCATGAGTCTCTGCTCCTTTGTCCCCATGTGTTTTGATGATGGTGGCTCCTTATTTTTTCTAATCATTATCATCATCACCCTGTGGAGCTATGGTAGTTATTAATTGCAGAGGTTTCATTATGGGCCATCCTTTCTGTCTGTTAGCATAACATGAAAAACATCGTATTTGGCTCTCACCCCTGAGATGCTTTTGCAGGTGGCTGGGTATTGCCTCCTTTGGTGTCCCAGAGAAATTGGGTTGTGGTTCCCTGCCGCTGAATGGTCACCAAAAGGACCTGTGCAAGAAGAAGCCCTACCTCCTGCACAGCATCCGAGAAGGAGCACGCTTGGGCATCCGAGAATGCCAGAGCCAATTCAGACATGAGCGGTGGAACTGTCTACTCTCTCCGGATACAGTGCCTGCACTTTCCACTAATCTTTCATCCATCTCCGCCTCTCCTGCTTTCTCCATCTTTGGCTATGAGTTGAGCAGCGGTAGGTTCTTAGGTGGCAGGACTGGTGGTTGGGAGGTCCTTTGGATCAGGGGTCTCCAACCTTGGCCACTTTAAGACTTGTGGACTTCAAATCCCAGAATTCCTCAGCCAGCTTTGCTGGCTGAGGAATTCTGGAAGTTGAAGTCCACAAATCTTAAAGTGGCTAAGGTTGGAGACCCCTGCTTTGGATGGCTTAAGCCTGAACTCTTGCATCAACATTGGCTAAGCTAGATCAGTTTTCATTATCCCAGGAGCAAAGTGATGCTTTCTGACAACTTGGATTGTTCCAATTTCATAAGTGAAAGCGTATAAATATATTCTTTTCTGAGAAATTGTGGAATATGAACAAAAGATTCTTGTAGAAAAGTTATGATTTACTGTACTCTCTCGTTTAAACAGTTTCAACATATTGGTCCTATTAATGGCTCAGATTCAAATTAAGTTGTTCATTGATTGGATTGGATTGACTCAGAACTGATTTTCTTGAGTGAAACCAGATGGTCCAATTCTTAGTTGCATGTTAGCATTAATGATTAATCACAGAACATACTGCTGATATTTTTAGCAAATCTTTTTTTTTTTTTGTAGGTACCAAAGAAACAGCATTTATCTATGCCGTGATGGCAGCTGGCCTAGTGCATTCAGTGACACATTTATGCAGCACAGGGAACCTGACCGACTGCGCTTGTGATTCCATATTACAAAACAGTGGCTCAGCCCGAGAAGGCTGGCACTGGGGTGGATGTTCTGATGATATCCAGTATGGAATGTGGTTGAGCAGAAAGTTCTTAGATGGTCAAACAAAAAACATCTCCAGAAAAGATAGAAATGGATTAATGGTCATGAATCTGCATAATAATGAAGCAGGAAGGCTGGTATGGATTCAAATCTTTTCCCCTCCTTTCTTCTCTTCCACATATCCATGAATACTGATGAGCGGAAGTTACATGTTTCTTTTATTTAGATCCTCATGCAATCATAGCTACTTTATCTGCTTGTCCTCCATGTTAGCCCCACCTGGGCAAATGAGAATGGAGGCCCTTTGAGATGTTACTGGATTACAAATCCTAGTCTCCCGTACCATTGAAAATGGCGGTTGGGTCTACTCAATGTTGTAATTCAGTAACAACTGAATTTCCATTAAAGAAGCTTTCTGCACCAGGCTGCTCTTCAGAATGGGCCGCATTGAAGATAATGCACTTTCTTATGTGGAAGATAAACTTTGAGGAAACCACACATATTTGTGGTTACATGCAGTCTGAAGGTCCTGGGAAGTTGTAAATTCTTTGAAGTAGGTTAGATATTCTCACAAGAAATATTGGAATTCTGATTTAAAGTACTGTTACAGGCTAGAGCAGGGGTGTCAAACTCGCTTCGTCATGGCATTGTCACATGATGTTTGGGACTTTTTTCCCTTCGCTAAACTGGGCGGGGGAGGGGCCAGCCTGTGATACATCCGGCCGGCGGGCGGTGAGTTTGGCACCCCTGGACTAGAGTAACAGAAAACCTGAGGTTATTTTCCTTCCCTCCCTATTATACTAAAGAGAATCAGGGAGGCATTGTGTTATGTTGGTTTTTTTTTTAGTCTTTAAGATTTCTTGGGGTTTGCTCATATTCTACCTCATTCATCCTTCGATATCCTCTCTGGTTTTCTGCACAAATCACCCATATGTTTTTCCTACAGAGTAAATATTGATGTCCTGGCCCTTCTGTATTCCTAGAGAAATCTGAATATTTCCAGGAATTGCAGTAAGCAGTAAAGGCTATCAAAATGGTACATACAGTCCACCTTTCCCTTGAGATTTCAGAGCAGAAAGATGCAGATGTTGTAGGGTGTATGGGATTTTGTGTGATTTAATGAGAGTAGGAAGCTATCTGCCATATTACTTACAAAGTGTCTAAAGCTGGTGATGACTACGAAGGCTGCTGCCACTTTGTCCAATGTTCAGTGTAACTTATCCTATGACTGAAGAAACAAGCTGTTGCCTAGTTTAAAAGCAGACTAGTCTTTTGGTCCATATGAAAACTGCGTTCAGTATTTGTGTTATATAAGAGGAAAGCAATTTCTAAATTAAAAAAGAGGGACTCAAATGCTTTGGAATATGCTTGGTGTGTAACCTAAGAGTAGAGTTAATCCTTTCTGACTGGGGTTTACTTTAATTTTTCCTCCAGGCAGTAGCAAAACTGATGTCCATCGACTGCCGCTGTCACGGCGTATCTGGTTCTTGTGCTCTGAAAACTTGCTGGAGAACCATGTCATCCTTTGCAAAAGTTGGCAGTTTTTTAAAAGAAAAGTATGAGAACAGTATCCAGATATCTGACAGACTAAGGCGAAAAATACGCAGGAAAGAAAAAAGCCAGCAGAGCATCCCCATCCAGAGAGAAGACTTGCTCTACATCAACAGATCCCCCAACTACTGCACGGAAGATCACAAACTGGGGGTCTCTGGAACACGAGGGCGGGAATGCAACCGCACATCAGCCGGACCGGATGGATGCAACCTCCTCTGCTGTGGCCGTGGATATAACACACAGGTGGTCAGGCACGTGGAGAGGTGTGAGTGCAAATTTGTTTGGTGTTGCTACGTACGCTGCAGAAGATGTGAGACTATGACTGACGTTCACACTTGCAAATGAAAGTAATTGCCTCAAATACCTTTCCTGGCTCAAGCGAAAGAAAAATGAACATTTCCTCCGGAGTCCAAGGTTGGAAGCTTTTTGTTTTGGTGGAAAAAGCAACTTGGAAGACATGGCAACAAATCAACTGGGAACTTGTATTTCATGAGGAATTGGCATACTTGGATGATGCGTTTGTGTAGTTCAGTCCACAGTGGCTGTGGCTTTTCAGTATTTCAGTCACATGCAGTGCTTTTGTGAATTTAATGGCTAAGCAAATCAGACTAGCTTAGGTTTAACATTCAGAAGTTAATATCCCCTTTCAGGCGTCTTGCTCTCCTATATTGAGAACATTCTGTTTATAAATCACCGTACAATCACTTGCACCGCAATTTGTAGTTGGGAATGACTCGGGCGTTCAAGCAAAGCATCCAAGACTTGGTTAACCAATTGCAACCCCAAAAATTGACTAGGTAGGTTTCTTAGGGCAGACGTTATATAGGTAGTTCCTTGACTTATGACTGGTGACTTAGCAACCATTGGAAGTTACAATGGATCCTGAAAAAGGGATTTGCGACCTGGAGTCTTACGTATGACCTGCTCCCTGCAGTCCTGTAACTACATTTTGGATCTTTGGAAACCATCAACCATCATCAACAGCCATTTGCAGCATCCCATGATCAACATATGGTCCCTCCCCCCCCCCCCCACCCCAGTAACAACTGTTTTCTTCTAGTTTCCAGCAAAAAAATGCCCCATAGTGAACAATGGGTTGCTTAATAACTCTGGTGTTCAGTTGATGACCATGGCATTCCCTTTACAGCTGCTGATTCACTTAACAACTGTCACCAAAAATGTAATAAATTCGAGCAGTTACGTGATGACCTGCTTTATAATGATCACAACTTACAACCAAAACCGCAGGCTCCATTAGTGTCGTAAGTCGAAAGCTAATGTCACTGGGACAGTCATCGGCAACGGTATTCATGTGTTCCCACTTCTTCTATTCCAGAGTTCTAATTGTTCATTTAAGACAGAAACAGAATGAGCTTGGTTGTTTTCCCGCAGACATTTCATTAGCCAAACTGGGTAACTTGGTTAGTGTTATCGCTGATCAGTCTTAGCACTGATGATCTTACCTAGTTTGAGTAATGAAACATCTTGCAAGAAAACATCCAAGTTCAGAGGGCACCAGGGACCCCCTCATTTCGATGCTGAACTAGAAATATTCTATCTGAGACAGAGAATTGTGTATTTGTCTCTATTGCACAATAGCAATAGCACTGAGACTTCTATACCGCTTCAGTGTTTTACAGCTCTCCCTCTCCAAGCGGTTTACAGAGTCCGCCTATTGCCCCCAACAATCTGGGTCCTCATTTTACCCACTATGGAAGGATGGAAGGCTGAGTCCACCCTGAGCTTGGTGGGATTTGAACTGCTAGATTGTAGGCAGCTGACTGCAGAAGTAGCTTGCAGTACTGCACTCTAACCACTGCGCCACAGAGACTCCTCTACAATATTGAATACAATAGTATTCAAGTACTGAAGTGTGTTCCTGTTTTCCCTTGAGCATCCTGATTAGGTCTATACTGTGATGCATTTCAGAGCAGTCTCATTAAAAAAAAATATAGGTGTGACACTGATTTGTAAAGATACTGTATAATGTACCATCAAATAAATAATATACCTGTTTATTCCCTTGCATATGGAATGAATACAAGTCGCCTATGAAGGCAATTGCAGGTTACACAACTGCCTACATAGCTTTATCAGAGTGGTACGTTATTCTTATAAATTCTTATAAAATATATTGTTAATAAAAACATGCCAGTTGCCAAGCATCCAAATTTTGATCATATGGTCATGGGGATGCTGCAATGAGAATATGACAAACTGTCATCTTACTTTTTTCAGTGCCTTTGTAACTTCAATCACTGAATGAATGGTTAATCCAAGGACTACCTGTATCATCAAGACCAGAGGTCTCCAAACTACTTTAAGACCTGTGGACTTCAACTCCCAGAATTGAGAGTTGAAGTCCACAAGTCTTAAAAGTTGTCAAGTTTGGGGACCCCTGATCTAGACACCAAAGGTATCTTGGTATCTTTGATATCTTGGTGCAAGATATCAAAGATATTCTTCTGCATCTATATTTCATAAGTGTCTTCATTTCCCAGTATTGAGGACCAGATTGCTGACATCAGCTACTTTTTGTAGAAATGGAAAGATGATGCTTGGTATTGTGTTGGGATGAAGAGAGCTTTTCTTTGTGGTGCATCATTAGGCATTTCTAGTGTTCTTTTGTATGTACATTAAATTCAGGATATAGGATTGCAACTCTAAATATTACTCTGGTTGAATGGGAAGCAATCAATTCACAATTCACTCCCCAGGATTTTCTTTCATTGCTTGAAACTGAATTTTCTGATGCATAAAAGAGCTTGACCAACACACACACACACCCCCACCGGATATACCAACTGTTGGCCAGTTGTAACTAGCAATATCTGGAAGACTATAGGCCTCCTTCTTGGGACTATATCCATAGATCTGTTGTATTTTTTTGTGGTTATGGAAAGTTGCGCACATGCAGTGCTTCTCTTAATTAATTACCCATACCAAGGATTTCTCTTCCTTTCACAGATAGCTACAGAAATATTCCACTGCTTCATGTAAAGATGTTGGCTATTTTAAAAAATTGCCAAACCAAAATTGAGGTTGGTTTGACTTGATTTGCTGTATCTCGGCCTTTGAACACTTTTTCCAGCATCAACAATATAAGAATGGAAGGTTTGAAAAATCCTCTAATTTTAGCCCAAAGCAGAATGTTTATTAGCTCTCACTGAGCTCACTTCCCAGCCACTGTTTCATATAAAATAAAATGCAATGGGTTGGCTTATGGTTCTATAAACATTCCAGCAATACCACACATTGCAGTCCAATTGCTGCTTGGATTTGTTCTGCATGTTCTTGATTTCAGTGGGTTTGAATCCCAATTACGGTAAATATACATCAGATTGCATCTAACTCCACCACTATATTTATAGATTTAGTTTCTCAAATGAAATACATTTTCTCATGAAATAGTAGGCAATAATAATCGTAAAAATATTTACTGCTTCCCGCTACCTCTACGTTTTATATAAGAACACTGCCCGGCAAAATGACTTGCACTCACATTAAGGCCTAAGTTCCTTCTACTT